TCATTCTTGTTATGTGATACTGTAGGCCTACCTTTATTCCCACGGGTATTTTCCACCTTTTTTTAAACTTGATTGAAAGAAACGATGTAATTTCTAAAGCATCAAACACTCCTCATCGTATTATTCATCAACTCTTTTCTTTCTATCATCGACCAACCATGACTCTCATTATTAGCGTTCATGGACCAATGAATAAACAGATAATACAGATTGAGTATTCGGTAAATAACAAAAATGTCACAGAACAGAATGTAATATTGAATGAATGCTCTTGGGAAGATTTTGTTGTAGAAATGAATTGAATGGCTCTTTTACCATAGTTACTCTTAATCTTGCATTGCTCATACACATACTTGTGCAACCACGCTTATAACTATGGGGTACTTCCATCAAATCAACCAAAAAAAAAAAAAACACATCAATCTCCCAAGTCTCAGATTTTTTGTATGTGGTTTGGACCCATGAGAAATGATCAGAAACAATTTTTTTTTCTCTAGGTCTTTTAGTGAGACACTATCTCTCAATCTATTCAAAAAAGAACTTAAAAACATGTTAAACAGCTAACCAAAGTGATGTTTTTTTTTAATTGTTCTTATTTTGAAATTCTAAGTTGTTGTATATATTTATTTTATATTCTGTATTGATATGTTTTTCTTATATTTTATCACAAACCCGTGGAAGAACACCTTTTGTGAACGAGCTTTTATGTTTTTCATATATTTCGTGAATAAATAAAGATTTTGATTGATTTTATTTTGATTGATACCTAACGAAGCATGAGCTAATTGAGCTGGTTTTGGTGTTATTTTAAAGTTACTGTATTGAGTAGCTCTATAACTTTATAAATAAATGCTAATTCAACCATAAAAAAAGTTGCTATAGGTTAAAAAGTTCAAAGTTGAATAAAAAAATATGTATTTTTTTTTTCTTTTCCAAAATCATGCTAGAGGTACATTATGATGTAAAGAAGCTTCCCTATAATTTTGGTGATTGACGCTCTAACAGTTCCTGACCAATTATATGGCATGTCCATTCGAAATTTCACTTTTTATATATTAACACTGTACTTCTGTAAAGTAAAAAAAACAGTCAACCAAACTGCTAATTTTTATATGTAGGTATGAGAAAATAGAGGTTAAATCACTTAGAAAAATGTAGAAATGCCTTGGAAATAGGCTAGTCAAGTGGCTAAGACAGGGGAGCCGCCACCTACAGGTCTAAGAAGCACACTTGTTATAATTCTGGTGGTGGAAGAAGTCTTCTCCGATAAGGACACCACCGTAGGCTCAGTTTGGCATCTATGTAAACTCCAATGAACTCTGTTGAAACAAGTACTGTAGGTGGTTACCCCAGGGTACTTGTCCATATAGCCCCTGTTGTGGATAGACGAAAGCAGCTGGTACTGGTTTACCGTGTAGCTCAGATGCGAAGTGACCCTTAGGGAAGAAGGAAATTATTAGTATGGGCTAGTCCATGGTTTGAGAGCTTTAAGACTCGGGTATATAATAATATGTGCTATATGATAAATGGTTGTATAGAGCGCAGATTATGGAGACCTAAATGCGTTATATAAAACTACATTACATGTGTCTGTACTAGTGGATGTTCAAAACCAGCATCTGCAAAAGCATTTACTGTAGTTATTGCAATCTTAGAGAGGCTTAAAGAAAAGAAGACCAACCCACACAAAGTTGTTTTCCTTTGTTTTTCTATGAATTGCAGAATTGCACCAAAAAGGTTGTGTGTTCTAGTAGGAGCAAGTGGGAATCATTCAGTGTGTATGCACAATCCATTAAAATATAAAACTATTGTTCACTGGAGCAAAAGTAGATTGTGACGAGTGGAGAATTTAAACGTAGCCATTAATGTCTTGCAGCTATTCAGTGCAGTCATCAACACAGTAATGGCGTTTTTAGCATTTACTACTGAATGGAGAAAGACAATGTACTGTACATGTAGATCCGTGTTTAATTTTGCAAGAAACATGTATGTTCGATTGTCACCAATTTTCATTAGTGAACTGTAGTTACAAAATACAATGGCAGGAAATATCCAATGTAGTGATCAATGCCACAAAAGTACAATGACAGAAAATTGGTCCAATGATATAGTAACACATGTAAAGCAATGAATACATGAGTACCAGTAACCTGCAATTCATTATTAATTTTTATTTATTTGACCCAATGTAATATTTACAATGCAAACATATTATGATCAGGAAATATCCAATGTAGTGATCAATGCCACAAAAGTACAATGACAGAAAATTGGTCCAATGATATAGTAACACATGTAAAGCAATGAATACATGAGTACCAGTACCCTGCAATTCATTATTAATTTTTATTTATTTGACCCAATGTAATATTTACAATGCAAACATATTATGATCAGGTGCTGCTTAAGTTATATTTTAAATTACTCTTTGCAACATACAGTATTCTGATTAATACTGCATATTCATGTGTATAAGACTACCCTCAAGTTTGATAATTTTGTATGTCAGGCGTATAAAATGATTCCTGCTCTCTGTTTCACTATCAACATTCCTATTTTTTGCTGCTTTATATGGTCTTGACACTGCATCTAGCTGGCTAAAATGGAGCCAAATGTAGGGCTTACCTTACCTATCCTCTTCAGGTCTTTGTATGTGTTGTTTTCAATCATAATTTGGTATTTTAAATCTCATCTTATACAAGCACCCCTGCTTCAATTGTTCTGACTTATTTCTCACGTTAACAGCGGCGGTTGTTTTTACAACTGTAACATTACCTTTTCCTGTACTTTCCCACTGTTCGCACTGTAAGTTATACCCACTATATATCCCATGACCGCTATTAGTTCCCAGTCGCCGATTGTGTGTATTGCAACTATATACTGTATACTAGAAATGTATGAACTGTTAATTGTACTTTTTGTTTTTGCAGTGTTCCTATTCATGAAGCGGTGAAATGTATCGAATGGTTACTTGGTAAATGGAAGTCGGAATCCAGTAAAGGCCAGTTTCCTACAATCGAATCATTCACTTACGAAGAAGAAGCTACTTTCAGTCATGTCGGCCAACCGATGTTAAATTTTAGGTATATTTACTTGAATTAAATTTTATTTATCAGGAAATCACATGTAGCAAGTGCACTTAATACCAGCGATGGGTCTGAAGAGTAATGAGAAAATTGGGAATTTCATCACTAATATATGAAGAAACTTTGGTATGGGAAATTCCTCTACTTTTAGTAAATAAAGATGTTTATTAAACAGTGCTATGTATCAATAGTATAGATCCCTTGGTTCTTAATTAATTTGTTTGAAGGGCCAGATTATTTTTAAAGTTGATCTCGTGCACCAAAGGTAATCTCCGAGTTGCAAGCAACTTGTTTTTATGTCTATGTCCCCAACACTATGCTATGCTCCCTGTTGGCCACACAGACCTTTGAAGGCTTTTGGGCAATTTCAAATTCTATTAGGCCACTAAATTCATTACTGTACAAGTATTTCACCATAAGATTGATTTAATATTTTGCCAAAAAAAAAAACTATAAATCTAAATTTTTTTTTCAAATTTTAGTGTGGTGGGACCCATGAAAAATGATCAGAAATGAAAAATTGTTTATCCTATGTTCTTAATTAGCGAGATAAGTTTGAGCTAATTAGCGATACCTTGCACATTTAACTGACGATATCTCGGTAATTAAGAGCCCGAGATCAACAATTTTTCATTTCTGATTGTTTTACATGAGTCCCAACCACTTACTAAAATTTGAACAAAATCCGGGAGATTGATGTTTTTTTGTTGTTTTTTTTCTGACATGGAATGACAATACCCTTGTGTAAAATCACCACAAAACAATATTTGCCCAATGGCAGGGGAGAGGAGATGTCCTGGAAACTCTGAAGGAGGTCCATGGGGAATATCTCCCCAGAAGCTCTAACAATCTAGTGATTTTGAATACAAGGCCCGAAATCGATCTTACAACCTCATATTCTGTAAAAGTTACATGTGATTTTTTTCCCTCTGACGAATGAGCTCTTTCTGACGAAGGTCCTCCCTACACAACTGGTATTACCACTTTATTTCAATTCACCTAACTTGCTGGGAACTAACGGTTAAGTAGCATGATAAGTGGTAAAGTTTCGCCTTCTAAGCGGTGCTCAAATAGTTGCGTAGACTGAATAATAAGTACAGATGTAAAAAATAAATGATATATTCATCTATTAGGTTATTTTGCATGTCTGTAGGTAGGGGGTAGTCCCGATTGGAGGGATGGGGAATGCTCTTGCGAACAACACAAGCCTTTAGGCGGAGGCTGTTTATGGGCCACTGGCTGGGTTGAGGGGCCTGAGAAGATCCAACTTAGTAGAATTTTGAGGAAACCCATTTCTAGAATTCTATTTAAATTTCCATTCATTTTGGTGTGTTTCTGCCCTGGTAATAGAGCTTGTCATGTCTTCATTTCTTTGTGCAAGTGTAACTGTGTGTGAAGTATCGTTTCCTGGATTGGGCTTTTTTTACTCAAAGTAAAACTAAATACTTTTCTTCAGTATCATTTTGACCTTGATTTGTATCTTTGCTTTTCATGGAAGACCTCCATGTTTAGGCATATTATGCCAAATATAATTACCTGACAGGGCGTCTATACTTTAACAGCTCTAACTTTCTTTTGGCACAGGCAATTAATTGGGTAGGACCAGGAACTATGACAACTCCCTGGTAGTACTAATCCTGTAGAAGTATATCAAACCAAAATTAAAGTTACAGGTATAATAGGGGGTCAGCCTTGTATATAGCATATAAGCCAGCTCAACTGAGAAAAAACATTTTATCATCATTACAATTTGGCGGACTGTTGATTTTGTGTTGTGTGGGATTATGTGGCTGTTGTAAAATGCAAAACGACTTTTTCGAAGCTGAGGCTAATTTTAGATATCTGTATTAAGGAAGTTAAGTTATCGGAAGAAATAAGCCCTCTGACGTTATGAATATTAATCAGCACCCATTAGCTGCACCTTGTTTTTGGGTACCATTGCCTTTTCCCTCCAAGCTACTGCTCAACCCCCCGCTGAGAAAAATATTCATCTTTAAAGATTTCCCGCCTCCAACCCCATCTTCGCCAATAAAATCTGTGTTGAGTCATGCAGGCCTTGGGCACCCAAAAAGCATTTGGTGTACGTGATATGTATTATGTAAATAATAATTTTTAATTTACGATAAGGTGTAATAGTGTTCATAAAAATTACTTCATATTACAACGCATTGTAGTTGTCATGTTCAATGTAGGTTCATTTGTACTTTTACGCATTATTTGGATGCTAATTGATTTCAACATGTTTGCCATTAATTAAATCTTGTTAATAATTTTAGCTTTCGGGGGTGGGGGGGTGCTCAGCCTTGTATATACTGTAGCATAAAGCCTGCTCGACTAAGAATGTTGCGGCTGCCCCTGTCTATGCACCCACTGTACCGTATATACGTATATACTTTTCGTCATTATTAAAATGACATTTTATCATCATACAATTTGGCGGCCTGTTGATTTTGTGTTGCGTCGTACAAAACAAAAATTTTTTTTTTACCAGTCACACAAAGTTTGTTTAACTTACAGTATAGTAATATATTGGCATACAATTGGTATTTTCTGTGTAATTTCAAACATCCTATGTCTACCAAATACCAGAACTTTAAAGCTTAAAAAACACTTCAATCTGCAATGTCTAATTTAGCTGAACTAAGACTACCAATCTTTTGGCATTTATCGATTGTTTGGTAACAGTTATAATTCTAGGTCTGGGTGGAAGCACCCCCTACTTCACCATGGCCCCAGTGTTGTGTTCTGGTCTTCACTTATTGAAAAAAAAATATTCATCTAATAATTATTACTTTTAGTTTCTCTAAATATTTTTTGAAAATTTTATGTTTTCCTGCGGGTCAAATAATTGGTTTCGCAAGCCAAATTTACCCTGCCAGCTGCCTATTAAGTACCAGGGGTATAGATGTTTCTCTGCACCAAGTTACTATCATGTGATTTATCATCATTCATTTGCATACCTCTTACTATGCAATGCCTTGAGAAAAGTGTGTCCTAATGGGAAAATACAAGCTTGGCCTTATGTAGTACCTCAGTTGCACTGTCGAAATGGTAATTGTGGAGGGCGGTGGCTTGAGAGATTTCATGATGAATGATCCAAGGCCCACGACGATAGTGGTGGGGGTCCAAGTTCCGCAATGAGAGGCCCAAGCTCCCTGACAGGAAAACCACACCCACAATGGTTGGAGCTTTCAATTGAAGTTCATGCAAAAATTCTTATTTCATCAAAAACAAATTCATACAAGATTAACAGACAAGAATAGAAGCAAAGACAAAAAATATACCCCCATGAAGCCTGAAGAGACTTGTTACAAAATAGAGGGGGGCCAAAATGAGGCAAGTACAATAAAGCCAAATTTAAAAATAAATTAGAAATACAAAAAAACAAAAACACCCACTTAAACTAACCTACACCAAGTAAAAAGATATCATGCCAGCTTCATACGTGATTATCCAAATTCCCTATAATCAGTTTAAATAAAAAAATTCTCCCGTAAGTGGCGCAAGTCTCCAAGAAATTGGGAAGAAGGCATCCTGCACTCCAGCAAGCAAGCAAAAGTCCCCCAGAGAATAAACCATCTTCTGCAAATTCACTACTACAGTGTTATTAATTGTCTCCCGGAAGTCAGTGAAAATCGGTATCACCATGCACAGTAAATTATAATTTGTGTTTAGAAAGCTCATTTAAACAGATTTCCCGGATTTAAATTCTTTCAGCTTTTGACCCCTGCTATTAAGCAAATTGTTTTTTGTTTTGATTTTTTTTTTGCATTGTGTGTCAATGGAAATGGGTATCACCTTGCACGATAAATTATAATTTGTGTTAAGAAAGCTCATTTAAACAGATTTCTCAGATTTAAATTCTTCCAGCTTGGGACCCTGCTATTAAGCATATGGTTTTTTGTTTTTTTGTTTTTCCATTGTGTGTCTGGCTGTTCTTGGTGGGGGCTCCATAGTGATCAATTCCTTTGGGTTGGGTGAATGCATTCAAAACCAAATAGTTCCAGACAGCAAGTTAAACCTAAATAGGTCATGTAAATAAAACTACATGAATGAATGCATATTTTTGTGGATATTATAAGAACACTTATTGTTAATTTTGTATTGGTTACTATGCATTAAGCAATTTAGTTTTTATTGTACTTACTGTACTTGGTCTTCACATGTGTTTGTGTAGCAGATGTAGGCAATGCAGAGTTTGTAAATAAATAGCAAACAGTACACACTTTGGTTCTGAATTTCATCATATATTTTAATGCTGGGCATGCAATTTGATCCCTTTTTTGCAATGTCATTTTTGTCTCCTCATTTCATTTCATTTTATTTATTTATTCAGACAAGTGTCGTGGGGCCCCAAAAGCAACAAAATCACCATGACAAAAGTCTGGAGCCCCAGAAAACAAAACTTAACTACATTATTAGCGAGTATATAAAAAGAAAGGTTAAAAATGTAAAAAGTGAAAGGCCAAGAAAATAAAAAACACAGATTTCGCACACCTCACAGCTACAGTAAAGTGCTTTACAATTTGATCGTTTAATATTACTGAAAGTAGAAGATGTAGCATTTGCATGTAACAGCACCTCTTCATTTCATCAGTTACTGTTTTTGATGCAACAGATGGCAACTTCACTATTTTCATTGGTCAAAGAATAGTCTTTTTTTTGTCAAACTTCAGCCAGGCTACATGATGAAATTCAAAATATGAAAAAGAACAGAAATATTTCATTGCCAAGGCATAAAATTATGCATAAAATAATACATAATAAATACTGTACATAGTTAACTCATCCTACAATAGAGTCCAAAATGAGTCACCACGAGTCTTTGTTGCACACGAGTCTTGATACAAAAGCAACAGTGCATAATAATAGCATAAATAATACATGCCATTCTAATAAAATTTCTATTACTCATAGTCAATGTTACTTTATTTTCATTGACCGCTATTTTCATTTTCATTGCCAGTTATACATAACAATAATGCATAACAATAATGTAAATAATACATTTCATAAATATTTCATTGCTAATAATAATCCATATGATGATTCAATAAAAATAATACATAACAATAATGTAAATACAGTAACCAGATTCAGGTTTAGAATTTATTTGTCCTCATGGAAACCATCACTCTTTTCAAAACACAATACACAAATATACATTTCAAACACAAAATTTATGAATATCAATACTATATTCATAACAATAAAAGATAAACAGTCTACATTTATATAGGCGTCATTCCACCAAGTTGGGGTACATGTCAAAATTAGCAGCTAGTGTACTTAAAATGTGGCATTGTTGGGACACTAAGCAGTACTGTATGTTTAAATAAATATTATTTGACATTATAGTACATAAAAAGACCTTTCAAATGATACCACACATGTTTATTTTTAAAATGGTATCTATTTTTTTATCACATTTATTAATCTCATGGCGTCCCACACAAAAAATGCAGATTCTGTGTGAAAAAAATGAACATACAGAGCCTGTTTTCTAACAGTTTGTAATAGAAATGACAGTCAAATTGGTATGAATAGTCGGGCTTTTAGATAGTCTTTACTTATTCTTTCACTCAATTTTTCTGCGAGCAAATCATCAACCCAAAAAATTGTTCCATTCTGAGTAACGGCGTCTTACTGTTATATCAGTGAATTTTAAAACTTTTTGTTCCCAAACAAGAATTGTGTAGTTATCAATTAATAGTGACTTAGGCATAGCATCTCAAAAATACAACCAGTTTTAGGTTCCACCTACAGTATTAGTAAATATTTATTCTACATTTATTATATGGCGTCCCTGTTACATCGGTTTAATCAGAAAATAAATAAAGTCAATTTATTTTTCTTTATTAGGATATTTACAATTTTTGTTATAAGAAACATGATTGAGTTACACGATTCAATAATTATTATAGCAAAATTTTGGAAAAACGAGTAAAATTAAATAAGCCAGCAAGAAAATAAAGAATATAGAGTAACAAGACCCAGTTACATCGTTATTGTCAAGTAAGCTGTTTTGCATGATCATGTCCATTTAATGGTGTTTATGATTGTACATTACACTAAAGTATAATACTTTGCTACTCTAACCCACTTATGGTGAGTTTCAAAGGGAACAGACATTATTATTAAATTGCAACTAAAAATGTAACAATGAGTACGACGTCCCTGTTACATCGGATATACATGAATTAAAGGCCATTATCAATGAATAAGCTAACAATTTTTTGGGTTTTTTATTTTTGCACATAAAAAAAATGCATAGGTAAATAGTCACACAGAATCAATTTAGTATAGCAGGTGTTGTTATTGAATTAAAATACATTTGATGAAAATATGTTATTGCTATGTTATAGTGTTGATTTTTCAATGAAACTTAGTATTTCATCCCTTAAAAAATTATTTCCAAAAAAACTAATATGGGAAGATTTTTGTTTTTCCAATAATATACGATACTAAGGTTACTAAAAATGCCATTGGTTATCATTTTGAGAAATTTGAAATTTTTATGTCTATGTCACACTTTGTGCCCAAACTCGGTGAAATGACCCATAGGCATGCATGAGCTGAATATTTATACATGAGTTGTATATTGGTTAAGTGAGTTTTTTGGATGAACAGATTAATAAAAACATTCTAATAACATTTCAATTACTGGTAATCAATGTGAAACTTTTGAAAAATAATTCTATTTTTAGAACTGATGCGGAGCCCTATTCTCATTGGGAAAATGTTACTTATAATTTAAGAGCAATTCAGTGCAAAGTAAAATCTAACAGACAATGTATACCTTCCATTGAATATAAATTAAACTGTCTAAATAAACCACAGAAAGCCTAGGATTTTTTGTATTCCACCTTTGACTAAACCAATGTTTTTTGAGCTTTTTATTATGCTATGTACAGTGGTGTAGTATAGCAGCAAGTGTACTTATAATGAATAATTGATTTAAACACCATTCTCTTGATTTTTTTTTTCTTTTAGTTTTAATTCCTGGCACCATGAGTCTGGTAAACCGTTACATCGAGAAACCGGGTTTCTGCGAGTTAATCCTGGCACGAATGAAGTAGCGTACATCTCTGCACAAAACTTTGGTATGAAATTCATTTGTGGTGGTCTTCATCATGGTGATGGGATGGTGATAATGGTGCAAGTAGTGGATGAAGATGGTGCTAGTTGAGGTGATGATGGTGACTGTTAGTGGTGATGATATTGTAGTGAAGATAATACGAGGATTGTAATGATGGTGTGGCCTGGTGGTTATGGCTGGTTGTTAAGCTGTTGGTGGCGATCAGGCCAAAAACCTTTGTGATGATTAAGCCTGACCAACCTTAAATCTTGAAAATCTTACCAAGAATGTCACTGTAATAAATGTAATAATGGTGGTGGTTATGGTAATGTTATGCATGGTGTTGATGTTAATGATTTATGCAGGTATTATAATAAATCAAGTTGGGTATGGGGTTTATATGCCCACCAAACACGGAGATCTCCGTGTTTGGTAACTAAAACGCTTAACTGTCAAATACGGAGATATCCGTGGTTCAGGTTTTGTTACGGAATCCGGTAGATGGGGTAATTACCGACATGTACTAACAATTTGAACACTATATTCAGTCTGGACTGTAAGTGTTTCACTATTTGTTTGTTTACATTAGCATAGAGCGGTATTGATTTACTTTCACGAAATCGCGATTATCACAGCTTTGTTGTGCGAAATTGCGTAAATCTCCAAAATTTGAGTGATTTTCATTTTACTGTTATGGGTCACAGATTGTGATAATAGAATAAAGTGTTCGGTATCATTGTAAAGCTAAAATGTTTGTAGTTTTCGTAGTATTCACTACATGTCAAATCTGATCATATACGCACTCTGAACGAGCTTTGGAAAAGTGTTAAAATCTGCTAAAAGGTCTGGCGGTGGCTGATTCTACTTTTTCAAACCCCTGGCAGTCAGAGTGTTAATAATGATGGTATTGTTGGTGGTGGTAATATTGGTTATGATCATGGTTTAGTGGTAATGCTATTATGGTTTTAGTGGTGTTCATGATTATGGACATTCTAATGATGATTTTAATTACCTGATTCGCAAAACCACCATATAAAAAACAGAAAATATAAATTAATACTGGCCTTCGTGTTTATTATTTTAATATTTATTATTTTTGGGCTTTTGTTACATTTTTTTAGGCGTGGTTGAACTGGAAGAAGGTATTGTTGAAGGTACAGGAATAAATCTGGAATCGACCACAATCGGTAGGATGTCTTTTGCAAAAGATCCAATTGTAACCAAGGTAAATGGGTTTTGATCATTCACATGTCTAGTTGGATAAATGTGCTGATGCCAGAGTGTATTAATGGGTTTATTTTATATACAGGTCTCCCTCCAATTAGAGACCACATTTGGGAATAGGTTTTCCCCATGGTCTAACAGGATGGTCTCCTCAGAATAAAATGTATCTCCTTAAATGCGTCTCCTTAAAATAAATGTATACCTATATTCTGGTTATTTTATTGTACAGTTTAATTATTGTTATGTAATATTGATATAATCAACCGTCCACAATACAATATTTTCATTATGTGTAAATTCTCAAAAACTTATTTTTATTCTCCTTTGTGTTTTCTGTCTCTTCTTGTTTGTAACTTACATTAGGTCAAACGGACTTTCAAACTCACTGCACCGAACACCTTAGAGCAGACCGTATTTATGGCAACTAGTAAAATACCAGAGGTGAAAGAACATCTGTGGGTGCGCTACAAAAAAATTGATTCATGAAAATGATTAACCAGCGCGAGTCTTATGTATGCTTGCATTGTGCGCTTTTGTTCTCACAAGAAAAATATTTGTTGTACTAGACTATAGCGGAATACAACCAAGAATGAATGAATTATTACAAGAAAATAACCAACATTACTTGGTTTTGTAAAGAAACTTGATAGCGAGCCCAATCGTGAGCCTCATTGTGAAGCATACACGTTTCAAGAATGCAATTCTCGTCTTCAGTGTGGACCTGAGCATGTGTACGGTATGTAAATGGCAGGAGTAGTGATTAGCAATGCAAAACCTTTAATTCAAACACCATGTGTCACTGCATGATTGTTATGGTAACTAAGACCACAACAATCGGACAGCGAGCGTTGTGTATAGGTTGAAAGTCTGCTTGTTTAGCGATGGATTGTTCCAAGTAGTATGCAAAGCTTCCTTAAACTATTGAGTTTATTTCATTATCATCATCACCACCATCATATCAGATATTAACTAAGCATATTGTCCTTAAGATATGAACCTAGGACTTTTAAAAATTCCATTCAGTTGCACTGCCAGTGTGACTTGCAGTTCAATTGATTCTTTAACTTTGCATTACTTCAAACATTTAATTTAACATAAAACTTTTTCTTCTTGCTTCTTCATTGATTTTTGTATATAATTTCTTAATTTTATTTATTTTAAACATGTTGTAAACTGGTGGACCTTGATGAAGAGCAAAGTCAAATTGATTAAGTATCCAGAATACAGAGAGAGTTCTATCTATCTGTCAGCAGTGAACATGAGATCGTGAATATTCATTTGGAAGCTTGAAGCTTCCATTGCTGCACCACCATTGTTTTTATATTAAAGCTGTGGCTTCCGATGTCATCCCAAAAAATGTCGTCATCAATTAACTCTGAAAGGTAACGTTTATTGCACATGGTTTACACCATGACCAGGGGTCCCAAGTTGGAAGTTACAGTACTTCCTGGAGATCTTATTCATTGAGCTTTCTTAACACATACAGACCTATACTGGGACACAACTAATTCCATTTTGCTGCACATAGTGGTACACATCAGAACTGACATCCGTGAGACAATTGATAATGAAACAGTGAAAACATGCAAGATGCAAGTAGAGTATTATGAATTTTTGGGAGTTGAAAGTAATTGTGCCTTTGGTATTGCATGTACAGTAGTTTTAATATAAACTGAACAGATTTTGTAGTATCGCTATTATTGGTATACATGCCGTTCCTCTTTAAGGAATGCGAGATTGTTCTCAGATTAGTGTCACATGTTTCACCAAGAATCAAGATATCATCAGCTAGGTTTCTTGCACTTTTAATGCAAGTGTTGTTGCAGTATATGCTGGAACACTTTTGAGGCTGCGGTAATGCCATAACGTAAAACGTTTGTATCTATGAAGTCCTACATACATGCATACTAAACGTCACGTGAGGGTGTAGCGACTGTCTTCGTGTAGCTCGAGCTAGTGATTTGCTTCGTTGAGATTCCAGTGGCGGATCCAGGAATTTTGTATAGAGGTGCCATAATAAATTTACTATTATGGCACCTCTAGATGGCCGGAAATGGCACTCTCGGACTTGAATTTGAAAACAATTTTCTTTTTTTCTCCAATTTTTAACAACTTTAAAAAATTTAGGAGTGGGGGGACCGGGCCGGCTGGGCACACCCTTGAGTCCGCCACTGGATCAAATTTTGCGCTGCTGAGGTTGTAACTATTGCCACTTGCTGTAGGAATTAAATGTTGAGTCACTTTGCATGTCAACGTTCAATCTAGCGTTGCCCATTTCTTTTGGAGCTTGATCGTTAATAATCAGCATGACCGTATTACGTGCAGTTGCTGAATATATGCTAATTGTGTAATGAGTGGTCTACACTCCTTGTTAAAATATTGAACTTGAATAAATTCAGACAAAGGATAAATTTTACTGGTTTAATAGTTTATTTTAATCATAAATTTACATAATTTATAATTATTAATAGGTTTATCAATATTTTACTCTAAAAAATTTACAAGAAATTATCTTGCAATAGAACAATTTCAGTGTACATTTCCATAATCACTTCTTACTGGTGGAAAAAATTACACAAATCAGCGGAGTTTGTATTCTATGATTATGATAATTAACCTGTTAAACTGACAAAAAAACTGGATGGGAAGGTTTAATTTTGCACTATGGATGTTCTTCCAATATGTTGTAGTGCATTAAGAAAGACTACAGTTTATACAGTTAGGTTCAAACCAGCTCCACCTATCAACACCATGGATTTGCGTAAAGTCATGAGAACAATATACACAGTGTTGTTTTTATACCCCCATCGTTTACGTTTTTTTGTCACAACATACCATATTCATTCAAATACAAGCTAAAGCATTATACAAGAAGATTTTTAGGGACATTTATTTTTAGAGGTGATTTAAAAAAATAAAAAATGCATGTCTTTGAACATTTATTAGAGATGTTTATATGAGGCATTTATAGAGTTTATTCTTAATTGATGTTTGAATAAATATTATTCATGATTCATATTTATGATTACCCATGGTTTGCTTCCAATTATCAAAAGATAAAAGGTCGGTAGGAAATTTTTTTTTTTTAACCAATAATGTGTTTAGTAGATTTAGTAGTGCCTAAAAAGTAGAAAATCCACAAAAATACAACAAAGACCATTTTTAAATTTATGTTGAAGAGCAAAATGATCGAATAACACTGTCGCACTGCCTACCGTCCAGCAATATAGGCCTATTCCAGCATTTTTAGCTCATTAAAAAATATTTTTCGTTGTAGAAAAAAAGAAAAAAAAGATACGAAGATATTAACTGTACACTAAACATTCCCCTGGTGAAATATGTAATACATCTAGACACTATATAGCCCAGCAGTGGTTGTCTGGGGTAAACAAAATGGCCTCCAGGGCAATGCCTCTGGCTAATTGCTCAGTTGCTTACTTTTTTCAACCCTGCATGTAATCATTTATTTCATCATTTCTAAAACTACCGGTTTAATTAATTAAGGGGTCGTGAGACTTCGAAATTTAATTATATATAATATATCATGCTAAATTTGCTGATAGTAAAGATAGCACATTCTAAGTATCATTTACAAATTTTACTTCAATTTTGTTTACCAATGAATGCCATTTTGAGTACCTGTTTTTAATGTTTCCTGAAGGTTGTTGGTCGTCAACTAAAAAATTGGGGAGATGCTGGTTTATTTCTTCCATCCAATACAGGTCTCCCTCCAATTAAAGACCACTTTCCTGTGGTCCCAAATCAACAAATGTCTCTTATCTTTATTATTCTAATTAGACACCAAAGCTGCTAAAGTCCATGGAAACCCCAATCCTAAAAGTGGTCTTTAATTTGAGGGAGGCCTGTATCTCCATAATCTACTGATGTTATAATCTTAATTACTGTAATATTTATGATACATGTTAATTACAACTACTTTACAAAGATAGACATTTTGAAACCTTATGTTAACAAATATGGATGTAATACTCACATTTATATTCAACCAATGGAATGAAATTGCATATGTCCAACTTTGTATTTTATTTTACATTAAAGTTATACAATTCTACTTAAAATACAAAAATATAGCACTTACATTTTTTATTTTAACAGCTGAATGCTGATTATATTGGTTAAAAAATTTGTTAAATTAGATAAAATTAGATAACTTGCTAAAGAAATCATGCTCTTGAATAAAATCTACATTTTGATCCATCAAAAAACTATTCATAAACTATTCATATAACTTTAACACATTTTGATCTGTCAGAAACCTTTTCACATAACTTAACATCAAAATTAGTAACTAAAATGTTAGTGATAAAATTAAATGGAAGGCTGATAGGTATTATCTATGTTCCCTCTAGTACAAACCTATCATTGCAGACCACCGAGCTACAACGAAGAACAGTGGCTTAACAAATGGGCCTGATGTCTGTGGGCTGGGGCAGCATACCCCAGTGGAGTATGAGGTGAAGCCCCTGCCAGCTCTTTTTTTATGGGTTTTTTTTTAAGTTCCTTGCCATTGTCCAGGCAAATAATGCTGATTAATATCCCAGGGCCTTCTAAGGTCGGGGTCCTTGGCTTTAACAAGCGAGAGCTCATAGGCGTTATGCCACTGACAAAAGAAGTGTTGTAAGCTCAGACCTAGCACCATACAAATGTGTGAAGTAATATGCTTAGAAATGTATTAAGACAAGAAAATTCCTATTAGGAGGTTGCCCTATACCAGGATGGATAGTCCAACTGCACGCATTCACTATAATAGGAATGCAAACGTCAAGAAGAACGTTGTTATTGTCCGTACATCGGGTTGCGGTAGGATGTAGTTGATGATTTAAATAAAGGATTTTCACCCTGAAGAAAAACAAGAAAAAAGATGATAAAATGCTTAGGTCATTTATAAGAAAAAGGTAAAATAATTAAATCTTTTATTTATTGTTGTAATACATATTGAATACTTTATTGAACTACTTTAAGTATATAATTATGAAAGCTTAATGGCCGATCGGTTAGGGCATTGGCACTGCAATGTGCAGTCATAATATCGGTGCTGGTTCGAGCTACGTGTGCACCTATGGTTCTAATGGTGGAACAAGTCTTCTCGAATACTGTATTGAAGACTATAAACCATAGACCCAGAGTACTAAATTGTCTTATGTGTACCTTAAAGAACCTAGTTCATTTTTCGTTGAGACGAGTAGGGGTTAGCCTGGGATTTATCAATCTCAGCTTAGCATTGTATGTCTTGAGTCAAAAAAGTTAAGATGTCCCTAAGAAAATATCTTGAGCTGATTTTTCAAACCATCTTGGCAAAATCTTAGCTTAAAAATTGTCTTAGATGGCGAATGGGTACAGCCGAATTTTTTAATTTTAAGCAATTTTTAAGCTATTAAAGCAATATTGATAAATCGGACTGAAGCAAAAAAATGGTCTTAAGACGAATTTAAGCTGATTTCTAGTTTGATAAATCCGACCCCTGGTCCATACATCCCTTGCTGTGAACAGATAAGATTAGCTGGCACCGTTTTACCGGGTAGCTCAGACAGAGAGCGAAGCTTAGGAGAGAAGGAAGCTACGGTACGAGCTAGTCCACACCACGAATGCTTAAAAAAAATTCATGAAAAACAAAAAGAGTCAAAGATAGGTCGGAAGTAAAAAAAAACAAAAACAAACATGCAAACCAACTTCGGTTGTGATAGTAATATTGAGGGTGATGTGGAAAGTTAAAAGTGGTACAGTAAAAATTGTACCATAGAACCCTAACTTCTATTTACATAAAGTGTTGGCTACTAGCTTACTGTTTCTTTTGTACTTTTGTTGAGTTCTTTCTCAAATCTGGCATACTCTCTCCTGTCGTATATGAATGTTAGCATCCTCAAAATGAACAGAGCAGCTAATCCAGCCAGTAGAATGCCAAGAATAATGCCCAACACAAGGAAAACGATGTCTTGCGGTTCTAAACTTTTATCTGGACAAGCTAGTTTTATTTTTTTGAAAAAAAAGGAAGGAATTCATATAATGATTATTTTAATTTTATTGATAAAAGTAAAATAAAAAATGTGTTATTTGTTACTTAGTGTATTTATATATATATATATATTTTTTTGGTGTGGTTCTTCATATACTTACATCTATCATTGTTGATGATTATGTACGTTGCAGTCTCATTTACTAGATAAGTGAATAGAACAACGCATTTGTTACGGTCAGTGGATTCACACACGTTATTCTTATCTGTGAAAATGCAGAAGAAAACCTTGTGTCATTACAATGAAATTGTACCTGCCAACCCTCTGAAAAGCTGGCTGTATTTTACAAGCATGGCAAGGACTTTGAACCCTGACCTCAAAATTGGCCTTGATACCAGATACGTTGACCCGTATCCTGATTAACACTCATGCGAGTGTTATTCAAGGAGCAGAGCGATCTCACTTCAATGAAAAACCCGATGCTGGCAGGGTGGGTTTGAAACAGGGTCTACGGCTCATAAAGCAGGAACATTATACCTCTCGGCCAAACGCTTAGCTGTTAGCATAGTACCTTTTGATATACTCACCAATGTTATTTGTATTATTTTCATTATTAAAATCAACAATGAAGACATATTGTTCTTGACATTCGGCTGCACATGCTGCGTCTTTTTCTGAGCCGTCACTGAAAACTGTACAAGAAATGCAGGGTATCTTCTCATCACAGACTGTTTGAAGACAAGTCTATTCAGATAATAGAAGTTGGATAGTCAATTGTGATTTTTCTTGAAAAAAGGAGGCATTTTTTATGGATTCCAAATAATAAAACTTTGGTGGTAGTAATAACATTTTTCTCATTTGGAAAAAGAAATGTAATTCAATTATGATAGATTTGTTAACAAATTCTGGTTTATATAACATATATGTAATATTTTGCAAGGCAGAATGGCTCTAATTTATTTTTTGATAAGATTAAATAACTCACCAAAATAAATTATATTTATCATTGATATTGATTCATCATAAAAAATCACTTGCTGCATTGATTGTAATATTATTTATCATTATTATTCCTATTATTATTGGTTTTAACTTTAAGGGTTAACTAATTATATTCATTAACTAATGGTGATAATGATGATATTTAAATTGCTATTATTATGCTTACCTTATCGTTATTAAATTTCGCTGTTTTTACTTTAAAACTAATATTTTCAACATACGTTACTAATATTTAATTAGTATAGTATCATTGTTTAATATTAACATTTTCTGTTTTGTTATTAAATTGCAATTATTATATTTTCATTATTGAATGTTGAATTTTAATCTGTCTTAACATGATTTTTGTATAGTTATTTTTATTGTGGTAATGCTTTCAGGTTAGTAATGAAACCATTTAATTTATGGAGGGTCATATTATTTTGACATACAAGATTTAACCTGAAATGGAGCCATTTCTACCCTAAGTATGGTGTACTGACAGCAGTGTAATAACATATATATTATAGATATATATATGTATATATACATTCAAACACTTACTGTATATGAGGCAAATTTTCGGTCTGTCTGGACTGTCTTCAGGCGTAGTCTGATCGTCGTCTGATCATCGACGTCGTCAGACAACGATCAGACTATGCCTGTAGAGGGAAAATTTGCGTCATATACAGTGAGTGTTTGAATGTATAAATATATATATATATATATATATATATATATATATAAATATATATAATGACCATAATGCCAGTTGGAGCGACAAAAATCGCAAAGATAAAGAGAATCACTGGGAACTTTTACTTACCAATGATGCCCTAACAATTCATGGTTATTGGGAAGTAGATTGTTGTGAGAAGCTTACATTTAACTTAGCCTTGGCTTTTTTTGTCTCACTAGTTACTTTCTTGATGTTTGTAGCCTGTTTTAAACTTGTTTGTGTCCTTTTAAGGGTTTTGTAATGTTTCCCCTTGTTGACTTTTTCCCCCTTGTTGACTTTTTCCCCCTTTACAACTTCTTTATATCCTTTCATTCCCTTCAAACTTTAATTTCTTAGCAATTTTTATAAAAAATTGTCCCCTGTGTTAGGCCCTCATTTTTCAAATATTTATAGCTACTTTTAATTGTGAATTTGCAATGCAAAGTGCATTTTTTTTGCATTGTATTTGTCCTTTTGTATTATCCTAATGATGCATTTTCGTTTGGAATAAAATTGAATTAATTGTACTAAATGTGTAATATAAAAATTAATCTCCCCTTTTATTTAAGTATTATTGTACAACATGAAATTTTATTCGCTGTTAACAATAATGATAAAATTAATAATGACATTGGTAAGAGTTAATACATTATTCCTCTTGCTAAAACTAGTACTTACCTCCACATGTTAGGCCGTTGTATAATGGACATTTTAAATCCTGTCTCTTATACACATCTAGATGTGTATAAGAGACAGGCTCTCCCCAATGGGGACCTGGTCCCCCACTGGTGCCACCCCTAGCTGCCACAGTGAAAATTATATGATTCAAGGTTACTGATGCCCATGAAAAATAACAACATAAACAATTCCAAAATTATTTTTTATGATTTTTTTTTGTCATTGTGAGGGAACAATACATATTTAAAAATGTATGCCTCAAAAAGAAGAATAAGAAATTATAAAATAGCTAAAACATTAAAAACTAAAAAAACACAAAAACTCAAATCAAACATTGAATAAGTATTTTTAATATTTATAACATTGAAGAATATCCACATACCCCATTTGCTGCCATGCATGCATCATTTGGGGGACAGCTGTCTCTTATACACATCTTTACTTGTATTATTTTCATTATTAAAATCAACAATGAAGACATATTGTTCTTGACATTCGGCTGCACATGCTGCGTCTTTTTCTGAGCCGTCACTGAAAACCGTACAAGAAATGCAGGGTATCTTCTCATCACAGACTGTTTGAAGACAAGTCTATTCAGATAATAGAAGTTGGATAGTCAATTGTGATTTTTCTTGAAAAAAGGAGGCATTTGCTATGGATTCCAAATAATAAAACTTTGGTGGTAGTAATAACATTTGTCTATGATTTCGCCTTAACGTCGCTTTAATTTCCCCTTAGCGACACTACTTTCGCCTTAAGGTACTGTTTTTAACCCTCTTCATTGTTTTAGTTTCTCCCTATGGATACTTCTAAGCTCCTATATATATATAATATATATATCTTATGTATGTTATTGCACTGCTGTCAGTACACCATACTTAGGGTCGAAATGGCTCCATTTCATGCTAAATCTTGTATATTTTTATTGTGATAAATTTTTAAGTATGACTTACATATTCATCGCATGTTTCACATGTTGGTCCATCGTAGGATGATTCTTGGAAGCATGTGCATTTTCCACATTTACAGGTTCCAAAGCCGTTACATTCTTTCTAAAAGGAGAAATCAAGCCAATAGAGAGCTTTTATTGTCTCGTTCAAGAATTAATCTGGCGAGAAAATTAAGTTAACAAATCTGTTGATTTGTTAAACATTCATATTGTCCACAGTGCAGGGGTGGTGCCAGGATTTCCCTGATGGGGGAGGGATTAAGTTCAAGACGAGGAAGGGGGAAGAATGTCCCCGACGAGAGCAAAGTGGGCATGGCCAAGCCCGCTCAAAATCTTTTAAAAATGGCTCAGCGGTGAAGCCCCCCAAAAAATGAGAATATATTTAGAAGTCTTCTAATATGTTGAAAATACATGTCAATTATTTTTTCTCCAAGACAAATTGTGGTTTTTCTTCTCAACAGGGAGGTGGAAGGGCAGCTCTCCCCAATGGGGACCTGGTCCCCCACTGGTGCCACCACTAGCTGCCACAGTGAAAATTATATGATTCTAGGTTACTGATGCCCATGAAAAATAAAAAACAAACAATTCCAAAATTATTTTTTATGATTTTTTTTTGTACATATTTAAAAATGTGTGCCTCAAAAAGAAGAATAAAGAAATTATAAAATAGCTAAAACATTAAAAACTAAAAAAACACAAAAACTCAAATCAAACATTGAATAAGTATTTTTAATATTTATATATTTATAACATTGAAGAATATCCACATACCCCATTTGCTGCCATGCATGCATCATTTGGGGGACAGTTGCAGTTTGTCCCTGTGTATCCAGGTTCGCAGGCACACTCATTACATTCACACCTACCATAGCCTTCACCTGCTCGTAAGAAACAATTCACAAATCATGTTTAAAAGTATAATAAGCCAACTCGTCGATTTTGTATATTTACTCCAGAATTTTTAAAAGTATATAATAGATCATCTATGGTGAATTCAGGAGAAAAATTGGAAGAATAAACCGCTTATTATCATTTATTTTATCATGCATAGATAATCAGTTTAATGTCAATTTTGTACTAATCCCCCAAATTATTATTGGACACTAAAGACTACAGATTTTAAATTTTAAGTATCATCTTCGTAACCATTTTTTTAATGAATAATTAATTTACTTTTACTAATTTTTTGCTCTCATTGATACCTGATCTTTTTAAAATCTTTTTTGCTTCCCTTTTATTGTACTATTACATAAAGAGTGTTGACTGTTTTTGTTAATTATAAAGTTATACTGCATTTTATCATATTTCTATTTTATCTTGCTTTATTTATATGTATGTCTGTTGTCGTGTATTTGTAAGGAGAGCATATCAATAGTAATTCAGTTTCCTTAAGGTTATCCTCGTGCTTGTGTTTTTGTTATACTATATTTTATATTGCCTAGAAATAATAATAATAATAATAAAGTAAAATAAATAAATAAATAAATAATAATAATAAAATAAGTAAATTAAAAAAATAATTTAAAAAATATATAATAATAATCATAATAATAACATAAATAAATAAAATAAATAAATAATAATAATAATAAATGAAATGAAATAAGTTTTCAACTTCAAATAATTCACTTTTGCTGAAATTTCCCCCTCCCTCCGCCCCGCCCTCAATCCCTGCTTATGCCACTACTGATGCCCTAACAATTCATGGTTATTGGGAAGTAGATTGTTGTGAGAAGCTTACATTTAACTTAGCCTTGGCTTTTTTTGTCTCACTAGTTACTTTCTTGATGTTTGTAGCCTGTTTTAAACTTGTTTGTGTATGTTTCCCCTTGTTGACTTTTTCCCCCTTGTTGACTTTTTCCCCCTTGTTGACTTTTGCCCCCTTGTTGACTTTTTCCCCCTTTACAACTTCTTTATATCCTTTCATTCCCTTCAAACTTTAATTTCTTAGCAATTTTTATAAAAAATTGTCCACTGTGTTAGGCCCTCATTTTTCAAATATTTATAGCTACTTTTAATTGTAAATTTGCAATGCAAAGTGCATTTTTTTTGCATTGTATTTGTCCTTTTGTATTATCCTAATGATGCATTTTCGTTTGGAATAAAATTGAATTAATTGTACTAAATGTGTAATATAAAAATTAATCTCCCCTTTTATTTAAGTATTATTGTACAACATGAAATTTTATTCGCTGTTAACAATAATGATAAAATTAATAATGACATTGGTAAGAGTTAATACATTATTCCTCTTGCTAAAACTAGTACTTACCTCCACATGTTAGGCCGTTGTATAATGGACATTTTAAATCACTGCATTGACAAAACTCTCCAGTAAACTATATCAGAAAAATGTAAAAAGCTCACATTTCAAAAATATTTTTTTGCCCAATTTTATTAAAGAATAATTGTGCATAGTACAAATTTTCCTTGAATAAATGTCTTCTCCAGAGCCTCATTTGAAATAAAATCCTCCCCCGAATTAATGCCCCAGGGTATCTATTTTTTCCTTGAATAAGCTCTAAATAATTGTAAACAAAAAAATGGAAGCAACATCATTCTCAACACATTCTATTAATGCTCTACTATAGCAGCATTAATGTTTTTTGTAACATAGTTGGGATTAATAAGTCTTTATGAACACGCAATAACACATTTTGACAGTAATTATGTGTTATTTACAGTCAAGTTAACGGTCGTTAATTTAAGTGTGTATACAGTATTTACTTTACGCCAAAAAAATAAATGCCCCTCTCGAATAAAACGCCTCCCTTGAACAAAGGCCCCTTCAAAAAACCCTTCTCAACAATAAACGCACTGTGGTATTTATTTAAATAAATACAGTACATAAAAATTTGACCCTTTGCCTCTAGATTGCATAGGGATTTACAAAAGAATAAATTACAAAGGAACTTACACCTTCGTTACAAAGACATTTGCCGCAAATGCATGTTCCCTCTCCAGAGCAAGGTGTTGTAGTCTCCGATGAGCTTTAAAAGAAAAGTGAAAATAGATTCTGTGTGTAGCAGTCATACTGTGTGCAGCAAATTTTCCAAAAAAGGATGATAGAAATCTAACCTAGGCATAGGCCTATATATTTTCAATTCATTATTTACCTAATGACTTCCATTCAGTTATCACTTTATATATTAAATTAATAAAGAAATAATACATTTCCACTTACAATATTTTAATAAGTGGGCTTCTCAACATATACAGTCATTCATCACTCAAACTTTGTTTGAATTGTTTATTAAAGAAATAATAAATTTCCAAACTTGGAATTGTCGCTGGGCAAATTGTGGACTATTACCACCAACCCACAGAGCCATAGATACTATGGTCTACTACTACCATATTTAACAGATGTCCAATAGTAAAAAGATACTGTAATTCTGAAAATAAAGAAGTGGGCCATTTTGTTGCACTGGGATATACAGTAGGTGCAACAAATGCACATTCACTCCTACCCCCTTTTTTTAAAGAAAAAAAATCCTCTTTACAACAGAATTTATAAACACTGCTTTCAGTGGCAGATTCAAGGGGCCGGGGGGGGTGTGGGGGGGGGGGGGGGGGGGGGGGGAGAAACCAGTCGGAACGGCTTTTCAAAAAGTGTAAAAAAATTGGGGGAAAAAAGAAAATATTCAAACTACAGTGTAAGAGTGCCATTTCCGACCATCTTGAGCTGCCATAATCATAAATTTTCTTACCTCAGCCCCAACCATGGTGGGGCTGAGGTAGTGCAGACAGTCAGGCCTCCCGGGGCCCCCCTCTATTTCAATTTCCTGGATCCGCCACTGGTTTTGTAAGATCCTGAATCCACCCTTGGGTTATATTAGAGTACTCACGCAATACATTCGTCACTTCCGAGAGCAGTCCCCTCCAGTAGATTACACTCGCATTGCTCACCGTATCTTCCGGTGTTGCATTTGCAGACCCCACACACATTTGTACCATTGCCTCCACTGCACTGTTCTTCACTTGGACCCTGAAGTTATATAAATAGATGTTTTAGAAGCATGGCAACTCATTTATTCTGTTGGTATTTTTAATTTGTTTGTGTCTACTGCCCCTTTAGGGGTCAGTAGTCACTTTGCTCTAATCTGGTAATTGACCTAGTAAGAGTAAATCTGGTGGAGGTATCATGAGATGGGTCACAAGCTAAAGAAAAAATGAAAAGTAAGTTTTTATACAAAATATGATGCCATCTTAGATAAGACCTGTCCTAGAACTGTCTCTTATACACATCTAGATGTGTATAAGAGATAGGGACTAAAAGTGTAATATAAAAATT